CCAGAACTGGTACCAGAGTTCGTCCAGGCATGGTTGCTACTGCAGGATGCTGGCTTGGAGCCTCACGAGAAAAACACGGTGATCGTGGCCACTCAGGGCGACATGTCACTGCAGAGAGTGGCGCAAGAGCTGCGCAACCAGTTCGCGGATGCAGATGTGAAAAAGAAGGACACCTCTCGCAAGTATCATGGATACGTGGGAGATCTCCTTGGAGAAAGCGAGGATGAACCTCCGACGGCCGAGACCTCATTCAACGCAGAGACGGAGTTGACCCCAGAGGGTTTAGCACTCTGGAGTGAGAATGAGGAGGAGATTCAGAATGCCCTTGCAACTCTGCAGACTACAAGGCGAACCCTTCGAGAAGCTCGAGAGCGACAGAAACAGGTGAAACAGAGCCGTCAGTACTATCGCTATGGCTCCAAGAAGGGCGAGAGCTACTCACAGCGAGAGGACAGGATCACCTGTCTGAAGTGTGGCAAGACAGGCCACAAAGCAGCAGCCTGTCCCAACTCTCCAGCACAGGCTTCGATGGTGGAGATGGCCCCGTTTATCTGCTTCGCTCAAGAGGAGAGCATGGGAGAAGAGGCTTGGGCGGCTCACCGAGGCCAAGACAGGGTCACCACCAGTGAAGCTGTGGCAACTAGAAAGGCTGTAATAGACTGTGGAGCGACAAAATCCATTGGTTCAGTGCAGGCTCTTGAGAGACTGATGCAGCTGAGCCAACATGGAGTGAGTCAGGTGGACACAGCTGATAGACCAGTATTTGGTTTCGGAAACAATTCCGAGGATCGCTGCATCTCCACGTTGCATGTGAAGATCCGTGCCGCCGAGAAGCCTGGAGTCATGAAGATTCACGCCCTCGATCAAGGGGCTGGGCCAATACTTCTTTCGGTCTCCACACTCAAAGCACTCGGTGCTATGATCGACTTCGCAGAAGGCACCATGGTACTTCGTCATGTCAGCAATCAGCGCCTGTTGTTTCTGGAGGAATCCCAAACAGGACATCTCCTCCTGCCCTTGGTGGATGACCTCCTTGCCGGTGCCAAGGTGACTCGGAAACCAAT